TGAAGGCCAGAGAGAACCATCGCGATTGTACCTTTGTTTGCCTATGTTTATCTAAAATACAATACCGGTACGTTTGTATCAATAGATATAGGCCTTAACACCGTGTAGAGGCCCAGTGACGTAAGGATAGTCGGATAGCCAAGCCAATGTAAGCTTATAACTATCATATGACCTTTGGTTGTTCCAGGCTTATTGTGTCTGCAAGGCTAGATCTAGTTCACATGGGCACATGATGTGTTTCATGACATCACTGATATTATTGGGCTTTTTTCCTTAAGTTGGTGGTGTAACGAGGTTTGACTTTTATATATATATATATATATATAGAGAGAGAGAGAGAGAGAGAGAGAGAGAGAGAGAGAGATAGATAAGATATGAATATATATAAGGAATTTGTATTTACATGTATTCAATCTACATACCATACATTATTCTACATACATGTACAAATAAAAACACAAATTATATCGGTGATAGAAATCCGATTGTAAGGTCAACAAAACTTATGGACAAAATGCAGTGTGCCGGGGTTACTAATTAAAAAAAAGAGAGTTGACGGATGGGCATATTATACCAAGTCCAGCTTGTAGACGTTGTCTGGTGACAGCTTGGTTTGTGGCATGCAGCATTCTGTCCGTCAAGACGGCCGATCTAAGACAGGAAATGAGTCATCGCTCCAGCCCGGACAGGAAAAACAATAATCTAAAATGTCAAAAATTGCATAAAATCGCACATTTAAGGTTAGTTTTGAACTCAGCCTACTTGAAAACCCCCAGATGATATGGATTTGCGATTTTCAGCGTACATGTGTATCTCCATCTTTTTCGCAAAAAAACCCACAACAGTAATGCTAATCGTTGTTTCCGAGACAGCACCATTGTATCAAAGGAGGTCAATCCCAGAAGGCTACGGAATGGCCGGTGAAGTATAGTAATATTACTTTTGCACCCTTCAAAAGCTTTCAATTTGCAGAGACCAGGCGGACGAAGCTCATACATTGTTACAGTTGTATTCCTTTTTCGGCCCTATGCGAACACGTTTAATAGAAATAAAATGTGAGGCGTGCTGACAAAATGAGTTACTTCTCACAATCCTCAAAAGCTGATATTGGCCAAAAATCGACACTAGGGACACATTTCTAGGTTTTCTCTTGATGTGATATTCATTGAGTACAAATGCCTTTTATCATTTCATACTTATAAATTGTAAAAACGGAACCTATAAGCATGCTAATGTATCTATTTTCATAGGGCTCAAATCCGAGAAGTAACTCATTTTGTCAGCACGCTTCACAAATGTTATAGACTCCCCGATTTCTACAGTGGAAACCTGATACACATGTAATGTATAACAGGGATGGTGGGACCAGAGAAAAAGTCCTGTTATATCAGAACCCTGTTTAATCAGAAATGCAAGGGAAGTAAGCATTTGTGGACTAATCCAGCTGTATTATTCATGGGTAGTTTCCCTTTCCAGAAGTACCCACGAACAGGAGTTTTGGCCATGTGGCAGGCTCACGCATGTCGCATTACGCGTGCGTGTAGCTAGGCTTTGGGCTAGATCGAAGTCAGCACACCGCAGCCCTCTCTCGCTTCACCCGCTGCGTGTGCTTGCAGTAGCGTGGCTTGCGTGGGCTTGCTCCATCACTGCGTCTCTCTCTCTCTCTCTCTCTCTCTCTCTCTCTCTCTCTCTCTCTCTCTCTCTCTCTCCCCTCTCTCTCTCTCTCTCTCTCTCTCTCTCTCTCTCTCTCTCTCTCTCTCTCTCTCTCTCTCTCTCTCTCTCTCTCTCTCTCTCTCTTACTTTTTACACATTGTTAACAAGCCTTTGTTCCTGCTATAACCGATTGGGCTCCGATGAGGCCCTGTTATTGCCGATAACTTTTAATAAAGACAAAGAGTAGGAAAAAAACGGGGATTTAAAAAATCCCTGTTATTACCGGATCCATTTTATTACCGGGCCTGTAACATTGTTTCCGCTGTATTTCTTCTGTTTGATTCGAATTAACCTCTCTTGAACCCCCCCCCCGACCAAACCAAAGAAAATTCGGCGACTCCGCAGCACACACGCACACGTTCATGATGCCCCCCCCCCTCTCTCTCTCTCTCTCTCTCTCTCTCTCACTCACACACACACACACTCACACGTACACACTCACAAACGCACTCATGCATTATATGCATGACGTATATTATCTACACTATATGTGAAATGGTGAAATGGTATGGGTTTAACGCCCCTATCAACACTATTAGGTCATTTAAGGGGCGGGACCTCCTACTTTAACGTCCGTCTTCTATAGGACCGAGCCAAGTGGGAAGTTCGTGTAAAGTGCCTTTCCCAAGGACACAACATCAGACCGAGCTGAGGCTCGAACCCCCGAACCCACTATATACATGTATGTGTATATTAAAAAAGTTATCATGTTTTGTCCAAAGTGGGAAGACAATCAAATTCTAGGGTAGCGTATTATTACCTCAATAAATTATTTTAATATATAACATGCTGATCCCAATACTCGCCTGTCAGCTTTCTCTTGCGAACTGATCCCTTTGATTTCTTCGTCAGTCATGACCTCTCTTTTCGGCCGCGTCGGATTAACCTCTCCACTGCCTGCCTCAGGGTGGTCTTGGCGTCTTGGGTCGGTTAGGAGAGCAGGCCTGATAATGAAAGGGATAATGTCTGTGGCAGGATCTTCAACACCTGGGTCCCATGGGTCTTCCTGGTCGCTCTGCAATATTGCCACGCTTTGGTTTGAGCCGTGGTGTAGTAATGGCACAGAGACTCTGCCTGGCCCCCCACTACCATCTCGGCCGCCGAAAGGCGAATTACTGTCTGCTGTTGTTACTATCGCGGTTTCCTCCTCGTGACCTGGATGTCTGCGATCGTAGTCACGGGGCTCCTGGGCGACCATGGTCATATTCTGTATGATGGGTCTATTGGTACGCTTGAATCGTAATAGTACTGATTGCTTGGTGCATCGTTGTCTGAATATGACCAATAACAGTATGCCTATCAGCATCAATGTCAGGACCGAAGTGGTCACTCCGACCAAGACAGCCAAGCAACAATTAGACGTGTTATCGCTGTCGTCATTGCCTTGAGTTTGTGGTTTGGTTACTGTTTCTTCGGCCTTGATTTCCAACTTGTTTGGCACGGGCAGTTTTAAGAGGTCAGTCACGCTAATCACATTGACGGTCACAGAACGAGTGGGCCTAAAGCACAATCCACTGCTCTGTGATTTTGCCCAGCAACTGCAATTTCTTTTGGGTGCAAATATGGTGCCATGGATGGCCACCTCAGAGTGTCTGATGTTTGAAAGTGACTCCCTGGGGACCAAGTTGTCTTTACCGATGCTGAACTCTGCTGCACTTCCGCCAACGTCGTTTTCATACCCTTGCCGGCGAGAACTGTCGTTAGGCTTTTGCTTCGAGCAAGTCATGTACGTTTCCACGTCCTGTAAGGCTGGTTCAGGGACGCATTCAAGGATCACATCCTCGTTTTCCTTTATAGTAAGAGCGGTCCCGACAGGAAGCGGGCCGTTGGGTGTTCTCATTTTGAAGACCAACTCTGCGGGCTGGTTTTCTGGATTTAACCGTTTCACCTCTACTGACACCACGTGATCACGATCGGAAATTTCTGCGTCTTGCACAAAGCACGTGATTTCAGCCACAGACGCCAGCTCTTCGGGTAAATACTGGGCTGTTGCCTGGTACGTCATATCTTGAAGTTCCCTCACGGACTGAGTGCGTGGTTTAAGCTTTGACAGATCATGTGACTGGCCTCGGAGTCCACCAGTGACTCGCCATTCGAACCGAGGAGGTGTTTTGAACTTCCTCGCAGTACATGTGAAGGCGATAGTCTTTCCTGACGTGTCAAATGGGCAGATGTTCACAGGCTCCGACTGTGTCAGATCGATGGTCAGTCCTGACAAAACGATGTCCACTGGTTTAGAATATTTGCTCGTCACGAGTTGCAGGCTCTCAAACCCCCCGGCCCACTCACCTTGTGGTAGGGGGGACATATTCACCCGATACTCGTAAGTTCCAGGTAAGTCTACATAGAATTCGGCTCGGCATTCAGCCTGGCGGTCTTGTGGCTGCTTGAGAGACACCCTGGTCGTTTTAATGATCTCTGCCTGAACCTTTTTCTCCTCCCCCTTGTTCCGCTTCTGATGCAACTCACAGTTAACATCCGGGTACATCCTTGGCGTAGTGCATGTCACGCGCACAAGCGCCCTTGACCCGCCCAACGCCTGACCTTCACCCTCCGCTCCGGCTCTGACGTCAGATGAGCGACCTTGATCCTTTATCTCCTCGGCCCAGCATCGGGGCTCTGCGGGCACGAGGTACGTGTTCAGACGGCAGGAGAAGAGCGTATGCATCTGGCCTTCTTCAAAGAGTGTGCAGAAGAAGATTGCACTCCGGTTTATGGCCTGGAGTGCGTACAGTTTGAGCGAGACGCTGAACTGGTGCGGTATCCGGTCTGTGATCATCTGGGTCCCGGTAATGAGTGGCTGGTAGTCAGTGCACCTCGAGCTACCCGGTTGGAACCCACAGAATGAAACGGTCTCATAGGCGTCCTCATCAACGTCGTCATCGTAGCTCAGAGCACTCGGGATTCTGTCCCAGAACACCTGTCTGATGACGACAGTGATAGCCAATGTAATGAAAGCAATAAAGGGTGTTTAAAAAACAGTTTTACTAAAAAGTTTTACGGCACTTACAACACAAAAAGGTCATGTGAGTGCCGAAGATTAGAGGTGTTACTAAAGAGAGTAGATCTAACAAACATAAACAAGAACGAGGAAAGACAAAGACGATACATGTTGATGTTAGCGGGAAGGCGGAGTAAGCCACTCCAGAGCACCCGCCAACCACCCATAAGCAATGTATGATGTCCACCAATCATCGATGTAAACCTAATTTGGGATACCGCACCGTTTTTTGATACTCAGACAAGTCAAACACAGGGCAACTGGTATCCCCCAAACCTCAATGTAC